AAAAAAAAAAAAAAGAGCTCAAGCATCTTGGTTGAAATGCTGGATAAAAGGGATGATAAAGGCAGCAACAGAGGGGAAGAGAGGGAGAGAGAGAGCTGGACACATGCAGCGAGAGGTGGAGATTGATGAGACGCGATATGCTAGCCGACTACCACTTCCACCAACCCACCTCGTGCATCACACACAAGAAGAGTGACGCACAATTAAAGTGTTTCCACTATTTCATAATATGTCATAAGTTTTTAAAGTTTACGCTTTCTATACTCACCCAAAAATCGTGAATAGATTAGACAGGTCGCTCTGATGAAGCAATCGACACAAAAGTTGCACCACAGGTGACAGGACACGGAGGAGGGGAGCTAAAAAGTGTCCCCCCGTGAGCGGAGGGGGAGGAGGAGGGAATGGAGAATGCCAATTTACTCCCAGTGTCATAAAAAATGACAATCAACATGATCAAATAGACTCGGAAAGTGGGAACTAATCGAATTAAACTAGGAAAGAGGAGAAAAAAAACTGTGCCACATCAAAGGCCAAATGAAGTGTGAAATGTGCAGAATTTTGTGTGCTTTTTTCGTAAATCGACCTTCAAAATTGTGAAAATTGTTGTGCAATGAATTACAAGACCACATGTAACAACTGTTTCAAGGCTTGCGACCTAATGCATGCACACACGCACACAACATGGATCATTAATTTGTGCTAAAAACAGCGGAAATGTTGTTGTTGTTGCTGTTGTTTCTGACGATGACGATGACGACGACAACGCTATGATGATGATGGTGATGATGGGGCGGTGGTGTTGAGCCAAAGCGATGCGATTTTGTTATTTAAAAAAAAAGGGACGAAAATGCTTTGAAGTGAATGGGACTGGGAGGCTGGAGGAGAAGGAGCAGTAAAAAAGGGGAAAAAAAAACTTGGAATTCATAGCACCGATTGCATCGTGGTGACTACGTCGAATTCAACACCCATTAGAGCCGTGCATCCAATGGATCGACATGTGGAGGTGAGTTGGAAAAGTGGGTTGATGGTGCTAGCAAGTACATTGTAAACAGTGGCTAAAAAATTTCTTTACTTGAAGAATAAGTGAGTTTGTGGATACATTTTTTTTGTGTGGGATAGAGGCGACAACACGTGAATCGTCCTATTCAGGCAGGGAGGAGGAGAGGTTAGACACAAGGAGAACATATTAGGGAGCTAAATACCACTTCATGAGTGTTTCTCTAGCCCTACCAGTAAGGTGATACGAATGCGGGTGTCCAGACGATGCCAATGCCTTGTATACCGAGACAAGATCGGCTTGTTTAAATCCGAAATTGCTAGACACACAGGAAGAAGAGGTGCAAGATGGAGTCACATGTCCGCAGTGGATGCACTGTAGGTGGTGGCAACAACTGCCACATTGGCAACAACTGATGATTGTCCTGAATGCATGCAGGCTATTTTCAACATGACTTGCACACAATACCCAAGTGTCATACACACCAGCCACGGGGAAGGGGGGAAAGGCGAAGACGGAGGGACCCCAGAGGGAGAGGGGAAGTACCGGTGGCATGCAGTTGGACAGCTTGACCAAATGAAGGCAAGTGTCAAAATCGTCTGTTAGCATCATTAAAAAAAATTAATTAATTACAAAACAAAAAGAACCGATGAGAATTTTGCCTCAGTGATAAGAGGAAAGACAATCTGCAGTGCTTTAAAAGAGGTGCCTTTTAAAAGTCAGGTCTAATTAGAGTGAAGGGAGAGAGAGAAAAATGGCTTAATTTCATGCCTCTCACAAATATATCCACCATTCTCACTTTTCTACTTCCTCGTTCTTGCCTTTGCTGACATTATCAAATCATCTACTAGGAGGAGTAAATAAGTAAATGAATATCATTTCCAATGGTAAGGTTTGAGATGAAGAGATTAGGATCCACCCTGACGCTTTTGTACATCGCCCGCCCCCCCCCACCCCGTCCTCCGTCCCCCTCGTGCCGCTCCCCACCCGGTAGCCCTCTGAGGTATTCAACAATAACACCACCTTCCGAGTTAACTAGGCAGATGGGTATGAGAGGCTGATGCTGAAGCAGAGCTATTTAAAGGTGAGACCTCCTCCAAAGTCAAGTGTCACAAATAATGTTTGTGTGCTTCTACCACCCACCAATGGGAAAGCAACCCAAAAGTAGGGAGAAAATATTCGGAAAGAAAATTAAAAAAATAAAATTTAAATCCAAATTCTGCTGCTTTGAAGGAGGGGAGGGAGAGAGGGAAACAAATACAAAATCAAACTGCAAAAAAGAATTTGCTCTTAAAGCTGAGAAATTTGCAAATCCCAAACTCTTCAATGGAGATGCATTGAAGGCAAGAATTATGACAAATAAGTCAGAAAATTGAATACACATTCTTTAAAAAATAAAAAATTAAAAGCGATGCAAAAAGAGAAATAAAAAAAATGGCTAAACAATTTTTTAAAGGAAAAGGAAAAAAAGGAGAGGACAGCGTTTCCTACCGATTGAGCGGAAGGCCACCACAAAAAAGTACATTTCCGTGCACAATGACAGATAATTTGCACTAAGGGGGAAATGGTACACCCTTTTTAGGGGGAGGGGGGGAGGGCTTTGATCTCTTCCCATGTCCTCTTTGCCAAAATACAAAAACACTTGGCTTTGAATGATGGGTATCTAAAAGTGCTTGAAGAGATGCCGTTGATGTGACGAGGAGGCGGACAACAAGTTGGAGGAGATGAAGTCCTTCAATTGACCATCAAGAAGAGGAGCTATTTTGAGGGCGAAATTTGGTTGCTTAAGTACATATTTTAGACATGTTTGCATGGACATAACATCAGCCTGCTGTCAACCTTAGCCTTGAGGTGGGAGGAGTAGAAGTTCACGGAATTGAACAACCACTTAATACATGAATATTGGTTTAAATGGAAAAGAGACGCATTGAATGCAACGCTAAACTTTGTCATGTCTCAAAGCAAGACATAGGAACGACGGTCGCGTGATACTCATACATTGGAGGCAATTTGGTGCACAAGGAGAAGGGCGGAAAAGTGATTTATCAGGACAAAATCCGACTCGGAAGAGGATAGTAAACAACTTCGATAATGCGAAGACCGGGAAGAGAAGATTAAATTAGCGCACCCACCGTTGACATTACAACTTTCCACTGAACAAGGTCTTTGATGGAATGGATCCGTGTAGGGATGTGGACACTGAAAGAGGAGTGAGTAAGGGCTCATCTGTGGAGATGGGTAGATAAGGCCGTGAAGATTCGCATCGCCCAGACTCATGCTTGATGTGCCGTAAGTGGGAGGTGTCATGACGCCCATAAATCCACCCATTTGTGGTGAGCCAAGGTAGCCATCATAGGTCATGTAGGGACTTGATGGCATATATCCAAAACTGGGAGTAGGCGGATTGGGATAGATAGGAGAGTAGATTGTGCTTCTTGGGGCACTGGAATTAGATCCATCCCCATTCTGTACTTCTGCAGCAGTGACCAAAACATTTAGCTGAGAGTTCGAAGGTAGTTGACTCGTTGAATCCGCGACAATTTCATCTGGGGGTTTACTCGCCTTGACAGTTAAGCAAGTTGAGTCTGAGTGACTCCTGACAAGGCAACTAAGGTTACTGTTAGCATTCCCCGCCTGTGGTTGTAGGTCAACACTATCATAGCTGTCATACTTGACCTCTGTATGTTTCATCTTTGCTTTTCGCTTGGAGTCTGGTGTATCACCTTTACGAGAGTGGCCCTTCACACAAATAAGCATTGGGGAGGGATTTGAAACGCCCAGCTCTTTTAACTTTGACCGATTACGCGCCGAAAGGGAGGCTGTTTTGAGGGTTCGGACAAGGACATTAGACTCCGGACGTGGAGATTCACATCGAAGGCTTTGAAAACGGCCTCTACTCTGCAGCGAACAGCCGTCATCGGTACAGGAGACGTGATCACGCACAGTGGGTGCATCATAATCCTCACCATCTGAGTCCGATTTCTCAACAACTCGTGCGCTACCTTCAATCGCCTTGTGAGACAGGGTTCCAACAGGTGAGGGTTTAAAACAGTTCAAGGAGGACATGAATAAGTGCGCGGAGGGGGAGAGACGTGAAAGGCGAATGAAACCTTGAAGAGGCTTAAGGGGTGCTGGGATAGCGTGCACGCGATGAACCATTCAGAGGCTAGCCGCATTCTTATTGGCCAAGATAAGCTAATGGGAATGAATGGTGGCAAGTAATTGGCTGGTGATAACAAACAGTTGTGTGGCCTAACGGTGGATCCCTTTCTGGGGATCTTAGGCACAAGAGGATACTTCAAATCGGTTGGTGTCATCCCTTCGTAAGTTAGAACTTCTTCTACTTAGCTTGATTATTTGCTTAAAAGGGTTAATAAGATGCGCGCTTGGAAATACTGATTTCGTGGTTCAAGACAGAGGCATAACTGCAGTTCCTCCGTGTTCTAGACCCTTAATTCTTTCCATACCAAAGACAGACCTTAGAATTAACCCAAACATTTTCCTACGACACGAAATAGAGCACAAATCTTAACAACAAAGATTTCCAGAGACGGGAAAAATCCGCGACAAAGCATTTGATTCTACAAAATAGACGAGAAGAAAAGGAAATGAACAGATATTTTGATTAAAAACAACGCAATTTTCTGGCATTGGAATAGACGAAAGACCCAAAACCTATCGATGACCAGAAGATCAGCATATATTTTGGTGAGATAAACTGGAAAGGAAAATAGTGTTCGTGTTTCTAGACACGATTACATGCACAAAAAGGAACATCAAGAACAGCTGCTCTCACAAATCAACGCCCTGTTCACAGACCTCTCTGCCCCAGCCTCCCTCACACAGACGAAATAATTTGTATATATCATGCCTACCATCTAGCTAAAAAGTGAATATTATAGTAGGCGAAGTAAGATATCCAGATGGTAATCAGGCATTGCGTGACTTACTTGACATTGCCATGACACGAAGTGAGGAAAAGAGACTGAATTTCCCTAAAAATAGCAAAATACGTAATTAATATGGAATTTTACGCCTAAATACCTGTCAAGCGAGTAGAAATTGATGTGCATTTTATCAGTTGTAGAAAAAGTAGCAAGTGACGAAGCCTCACCCAAGAATACTGGCGTAATGCAAATGAGCATACAAGTCGATGCTACTGACTACCATGAACAACATATTTTACAAAAATAGGCGTTGTTGAACTTGACGGCAGTTCCTACTGAGAGAGACTAAAGCCAATTTAGAAGATAGTAAGTCTTGTGCAGACGCGCACCTGAGAGCCCGAAAATAGCAGTAGTCACGGAAATCGCGTTTAGATAATTAAAGTCGTATTTGAACGTGCACTCTCAATAGTGTGAAGCAAAACCCAAAAGGATTGCGACGAGACAAATCCTAAGCCGACTTTAAAAACACTATTCTCGAGCCAAAATAGCGACTATGACTCAGTTCAACTGGAAAGCAAATGCTCGTAACAATGGATGAAGGGTCTAGAGCAAATGATAAGAGAGTTGAGGAGCTGCGACAAAATAAGCTGCAGCTGGTGAGCTTCGTTAATCACCATAACTATACATAACTTATAACTGCGAAACGAAAGCCGGAAAACATGGCAGTTACGGAACAGTTTATCAGAGAACTTGAGAAAGAATGATCAGTAGCCATAAGCAATGCATGAAAGGTTGCAATTTTGCTACGTGACTTGCTTAACTTTGAAGCAAGTGATTTAGAAAAGTACAATAAAACTAACTCCGACTAAGAAGTCCAATTGAGACTTCGGCAATGCAACGAAAGCGGATTTTCGTCAAGCTTAACAAACGTTCAGGCAAGCAGAAATCGTTTGCTGCGGTATTGTTATAGCAAAGTAAAACAAACATTTGACCTTAAACTAATTGTTTTTAAAATTTTGTTTAATTTTTATTTTCCAATCACAACTTACGCATTGTATCAAAAAATATGCCTGTATGCATTAGAAATCAAAAAATGATACAGTAATAAAATTAGTTCCTTTTAAGCAGTTTTCATGTTTGTGGGAAACCTTTTGTAAATCTGCTATTAATAATTTAACAAATTAAAGCATAAACATAAAAAGCTGCATGCCAATCTTTGGCTGTCATCTTACATATACTTGTTAGCCGCAGAAGGCTCCGAGGCTTCCAAAATGTTATAGAATACGTTTATTTGAGCTGAGCAAATGGTTTGTAATATGAAAAGAAAAGACAGCGCTTGGTGTTAAAACGCATAAGGGTAAGGTGAATACAACAACTGTAGCATCCCGAGACTTCATATAGGGTGGAAAAAGGCAGTAAGTGATGTTGGAATCACGTATTCCAAAGAGAATAGAGCAGTTGTGCTTAACATGGTCGGAAAGCTACCCCGCAAGTACGATTGTGGCATCCCGAGGCTTCCAATGCGGTAGTAGAAGGCATAAGTGCGGTTGAATACATGTATTCCGAAAGCAATAGGAGAAATTGGGCCTGAGCGTGGCCCGAAGGCCAGCCCACGCGTACAGGGCCCAGACAAGTCCTAAAGTGGCTGCTAAACGTCAGAAAGTCGCCTAACCAAAGCATTACAACGAGGCTCAGACAACTCCTGAAACGGTCATGAACGCCAGATATTCGCATATACAAAGCATCACAAGAATATCCGAGGAACATTACATGGTTTCAATGCTTTAAATGCACTTTTTATGAACCACGACCAAACACCTACCAGACCGAAACAGCAAAAGGAAACTATGACCTTGTTGGCTTCTTTGGCAGTAAGGTGCATTTGTGTTCCAGGCTATTAAATGCGGTGAGCGTCATACAATATTCTGCTTATTTTACAGCTTATACGTTCAGCAGTCACTTAATTACTACTCTTGCATTTACATAGGTGGACTGGCTTTAGGGTCAAGTCTGAACCATTTTATTCTTTCCCTTATAGAACAACTGTATTTTAGTGCAGTTTTTGTCTGCTTTTATCTAGTGAGAAGTTTTGAACAGCTACAACAACGTTCGAAGTCTTCCATTTAGGCAGTATTAACATCAACATCAACATGGCCCATGCAACTAAGGTCAAAATGGATACCATGGTGAACACTAGCTATACAGATGGCCAACTAAGCGAGTTGTTGCACTGATCCTCTCTTAATTTAAGCAACTCATATAGGTACACCACGGCACTCCTTTCCTGCCAATCAACACAACGGGTTATGCATTACTGTAGGGAAATACCTGCTAACTATACTTAATTCATTAGGGTTTCCGAGGCCGAGGAATCAGGTTCAACCGAAACAGACTGCGGGTACTTCCATGGACCATCGGTTGTGGCCAGTTCAGAAAGTTTGTCAAATGAGGACTATATGATGATAATATCCCTTTTGCTGAAGGGTTCCAAGGGTAATACCATCATCAACACCTAAAGGCGATCATTGCAATAGACAATTTAAAACGAAACAGTTCCAGACGGTTCGCGGTGGTGTCGCCAAAGTTATTATTAGCTTGTCTGTGGAACACAAAAATGCCGTGGATACTGCGCAACATTTCTTTCATAAGGAAACATAAAGTCGTAGCGAAGACAGGATCACTTTCTATTGCTAACAGTGAAATGTTCCAGGACCTCCTATTCAATAGAAGAGGGCCTTGAATAAAGTTGAATACCAGTATATAAGAAGGAGAAAAATAGGCTGGGCTTGGACTTGGCTCACAGACAAGCCCACACAGCATAGAGCTAGGCTGATACTGAATTAAACGCCAGCCAAACAGGAGGTAGGGTAAACAAGGCATTACAGGCACTATAAAGGGCAACACATTTGAGTTCGGATCCACCAACATTTTACATCCAACAGCTTACATTATCTCAATACTTTAGCTTCCTACTCGTAACAAGCCAGTCGACTTTACGAAGGACGACCATTGGAGCTTAACACTTTATATAAATCAACACCAACTGCTGTAACTTCGAACCTGCCTCGTAGGACGAAAACATAACAGTTGCTGCTTCTGAATAAGGCCTCCTCGCGCCTAGTATTTGAATAACAGTCTTTACTTAGTATACGTAGGATCTGCCTGCCCGTCCTTAAGCCCTTGAAAGTCGGAGCTTAGGAGAAGGTCAGTATGAGGCATAAAGCTGATATCATTCTAAAAACTCTCTTCACACTCCTCACGAACTTGATTTGTGTTCGAATTGCTTTTTTTGCCTGTCCCCATAAAGACAAGCTTAAACACATTAGTTCATATTACACAGTCCCCTTCTCTTCCAAGCACCGTCCCGAGGCTGACTAGTAGTTCCGTCACAACTGTCAGTCATCTAAACACACATTGTGCGCCAAACACTGACTTAACTTTTGGGTAATGTGCAGAACTAAGAATTAAACAACGACTGCGTTATAATGATAAAGCAAAGTAATTCTTAAAGGGAAAAACTTCTAATACTTAAGTTACCGGGCAAGTAAGCAGTAAGTGAGCATGACCTAATGGCTAGCCCATGAGTATAAGGTTCAGACCACCAGAAATCAGGTGGTAACATGAACAAAGGATTATATTTAGCCCTTACCAGCAAACCAAACACAGTCTGATCTTCCATGGTGGGTCAAGAATGATAAAATCAAGAAGACGAATGTGTATTTGCCAGGCACCAGATTAACAGATTAGCTGTCAGTTTTAAAAAATGCTCTGGGAAAACGGAGAGCGTTGGGCCATTAAGCTACTCTACTAAATTCACAAAAATTAGGGGCAAAGCGCCATCCCTGTGAATTCTGATGCGAATGCATAAAGTGAGAAAATTTCTAAACCAAGTTTTAGCATGAAACAGCTGACAACTTTCGCTTTTAGGAAATTTGAGCACAATACTCTGACTTTCAAAGGTAGATAACCGTTGGTCACTTCAATATAAAAGTTTTTTAAAACGATAGAAATGTTTTGATTTCTAAGGCTCTAAACTCAAGTAATTGAGTTTAATAATTTTAACATTCTTGATAACTAATTTTTGAGGGCTAAAATGACTTCTTATGTTATAGTTTTAACTGGCTGATTTACGTGGACTGAGTGTAAATCCTCTTGGGTGCTGTTTACCAGGTATGTCTATATCAGACACAATCAAGAGAATAATTCAAGCATCCCTGGCTGCATTCGATGAGGCAAATGTGTATGATGATATAATTTCTTATGTCCTGCAAAAACATGGGTTGGAACTGAGCTTCAGTAAGTGCTTACACCTGGTTCCGAAAGGTAGTTTCTGATCCGGACGTGCGATACAATGTTATGAACCAAAGAGCTGCTACTGCTCTTGAAGAACTTGGGATCGTTGACGATTTGGTGAACGTTATGAAGGGAGTGGGGCTGTCGGACCTTCTGAGCAATCTGCAAGATGAGAAGAACAAATTACAACAGAAGCAAGCGGAACTTTCGGACCAATTGAGTACACTGACGAAAGACTTGATCGATCTGCAGATATCGTATGTTTCCATAACTTGGGTTATCGTTTGGTAGTGCTTTTGGACAGCTGGAATTCAAAGTTGATCCCTCGCCGCCTAATTTTCCTCTTCCTCCAAAACGACCTGAGGATGTCGTTTCGGACCTGTGAGTCACTATCTTAGTGGAATTATTTTGAATTTGTGTGCAATAATTATACTGTCGCAAATTCTATAGACCTTCTGAACCTCCGATTGCAGCCTTGATTAAATCGTGGCGTTCAGTTCAGCCAAATGAGCTCATCCTTGGAATGTATGCTTTTTATCTTATTTTCAATTTACTTTATCTTCTTTTTCTTAATTCATCCTCACTTACAATGCTTTAGTCGTGGGTCGGTTGGGCAGGTTGTACTTGTCCGGCTCTCCGAAGGGGTTTGGTCCCTCGGTGTGATTGCTCAGCTGCTTTACAGAGAAGAGCCTCTTTCCTTAATCGATTTAAACCAGCATGTCAATAATGGCGGCTCGAAAATCTCTTCTGAACGCTACCGTCCAGATGCGAAGTCGGAGGGGAGCATCCGTTATTTGGTGAATGTGGAATATCCACCTCAACGACAGTTTTGTGATGTTCTTGATCAGTCTAAGGTCGCACTGTCCTTATCCTCTGAAGCTTTGATGCAAAAGTATCCTGTCGGTGCTCGTGTTGTTGGTATGTTAGAGTTGACGTTTTCGAGTTTTCCTTAAAGCTCTTTACCAAGATGCTAACGGCGTTTCTGCATACTATTCTGGGATTGTTGGTGAGCCGCCAAATTCTTACAACAATTATCGGTGAGCATGACCGATTCTTATAATTCTCCTTCAGATATCTTATATTTTTTGACGACGGTTATGCCTACTACGCACAGTCGGACTGCATTTTCAGGGTATTCGCCCAATGTAGGTGTCGAGCTTGCTAAATTTTGATTTCTTTAAAAGCTAAGGAAAATTGGCGATTGGTTAATCCCGAAATACAGGAATTTATCAAACGCTATTTGGCTCAGTTCCCTCAGGTATGCCGGTTTCCTTTTCCATTATTACTGTGAATTTCTATACACAGTCGAATATAATTATTGCTCTTATTCAGTCCAATTACCTTTTTCGAGTTTGGTCCTGTATGGGTGCTATAAAGAACAAAACAGTAACATTAGTACAATTCGTTTGTGGATACTAATTTTTAATGCTTGGTCTTGCATAAACCGCTTCATTAGTGACCACCTAGACCAGATGAATAGGTGGTAGAGTTACTAGTCTGAAATACTGCAGACTATTTTGATACTTGTGGTGACACTTTGGCATCACCAAACTACTTGCAGACATTGCGGATTTGTCGTAGGTTGTCCCTGTCTGTGTATATGTGATTTTGATCACCCCAAGATAATATAGCTTCCTTCTTGAATTGTTTATTAGCGGCCGATGGTGAAATTGAGCGTGGACCAGACGATTCAGGCTGAATTAAATGGAAATTGGTTGCAGGCGACGGTCGTTCAGGTGGACTACAGTCTCGTTCTCCTGCGGTTTCCGAGTGGAAATGTAGAATGGATTTATCGTGGATCAAAGCGTCTGGGCCCGCTGTCTAACAAGCCTGTAAGCTACGCCAGGAAGATTTTCATTGCTGCACCGAGCTCATTTGAATGTGTCAAGCTGTGCAAGGTTTTAATGCCCTAAGCTTCGTTGATATCTCGAGGATGAGACTCAGAGATATCTTTCTTCTCCTGCTACCATCATCTGAGGCTTCCTATCTTATCAAGCAATTGTGTCGGTCGTGGTGAGTGTTCAACTGCAGGTGTTCTAAGAGTGCCATTACATTCCCTGTTGGTGGATCAGGATACTTGATCGTGGAATGGCTGTCTGGATGAACACATCTCAATTTCGTGAACTTTACGTAACTCGGCAAAAGTGAATGTGTGAACGTTCAATGTAATATAAGCTCGAATCATCTAGTTCTTGCCACAAATCGCTACTATTTGAGGGCGGATTGGGAACGGGTTTTTTCAGAAATGGTCCAGTGGGCCTCACCTGGGTCTTAATTGTAGCCATTGCTCCCCTTTAATTCATGGTCCCATCCATTCATTTGCCCTTTGTGGGGATGCGTTTGTTGGACTTCATTGCCGCTAAGTCTTATCTGGATTTGGCACAGTATTTTTGTTGCCCTTGAATGCATTTATACTTGCTACAATCGGTTACGATTTGATTATATCTTTAATGTGTTAGTTCCTCTATGAACAGTCGCATATGTATTTTTATGAAATCGTGCGCATTCATGTATACGTTGTTACGGTACGCGGTGTGTGCGAATCAGTGATTTTTTTTTCAACATTTTAATCCCTGGGTTGCTTACAGTCTCTTCTCCAGTTTGGTCCACCATAAATGCAATTTGAATATTTGAATGGACTGTGGGTAGGCGCGAATGCTTTCGCCACAGATTCGGTTGAAATTGGTTGGTGCTCGCACGGTGGATCATCTCTTCCTTCATTCTGAAAAGCTAATCAAGATATGTGTGATTCCTAGAGCACAAATGGAAGCCAATCTCTGGAAGTTGACTATGCTTCAGTTCAAACACGTGAGTTCCCAGATTTTTCTCGAAATGTACCGTTTATTTCACGGTTTGCTTTTTTTGGGTCCAAGATATACTTGCTTAGGTCGATCTGTCCTCCAATAGCAAGTTCGCTTTTCAAGGTCAATGTCGCCTTTATTTTTCTGACGCTTTAGCTAGGCTTGGAAGAACGCGCATCTTTTATCAGTTGAGCGGATTAGCTTTGGTGGTGTCTCATGATTTTTTTGCTCCTTTAACTGTAAAAAGCTTTATTGTTCCTTTCGCACCCATGATAATTGGGCGAATTTTATTGAGCGGCATCTTTGTAAGACTACTCCTTTTCTCTTCGTTGATACCCATTACTGAAGTAGGTTTCTTTAATGATCGCTCGAATTTGTACCTAGGAACCACCTATGATGTCCACATTGATGCTTGAGTGGTCGGAGTTAAATCATTTCATGGCTATTTTGGTGCTGCTGAGGCGCGGACTCATACATTATATGCTTGCTCTCTGTGGAAATTCATTTTCTCCAAGAAGCACTGTGTTCTGTGGCGCCGTAGGTGCTATATTGCAATCTGAGAAAACTTTTGCGGGCACATCACAAGATAATACTAATCTCGTTCGATTGGTTATTTGGGTTAGGTGCCTAACAATCGTGAGTTATCTTTTGCGGAAGTGGTTTCGCAAACCTGGTTTTGGGCTAGTTTTTTGTGATTTGAATATCATGTAAAAATTGTGTTTGACCACGCTCCTTGTTGCCTTTCGTTTTATTCGATCTCTTAGGCAAACAAGACAAACCAATCCTTTGAAATATTTTCCCATTAAATCAAGTTTGAAATTTGGTTTCACGGCCGGGATTATTGGTTTTCCATTAATCTAACAAGTTGAATAAGTGACATTGATAAAACGGAGACGCTTACCAGCTTACTATCTGCGTATCTAGTGTAATTTACTAGTGATTTAAAGATTAGTTTTAATGTTGGGTAGCTCAATTGTTTATCGAAAGGATTGGGTGTGTTCCCAAGGAAAACTAAGTGGTTACGCCACTTGCGTTAAAACTGGAGCGATGTGTTGCATTGTCTTCAATGATTGGCATGGCAATATAGTGATCTGTGAATTTCGTATGATTGTCTAGAAGGAACCGAATAGGCGACTTCATTGAAAACTAGGCATTCTAAAAGAGTACACATTACGGGGTTGCTTCTTTAATCGAAACTCAGGGAACGCAGTTGTCATTTACCTTTTTACGGTTTTCTATTAACAGTTTAGCAGGAGAAATGCATCAGCTTTACTAAAGAGGGTATAGTAGGAAACCAACGCATCCATGTGAAGATAGGTTATGTACGCAAAATAATGCTGCAATTCTGAGTGCAATATCCTATTTCTTCTGCTTAAGGGTAAGAACTGGGCCAGATGAGAGGAGGATGGGTTAAGTATAGAACTTTCTTATTTCTTCCATTGTAGATTTGGTGGGAGAGCTCGGCTTGCACCAAAAAACTCGAAAATCGGCAACTGGTCGTAGCGCGATTCGGAAGCCCGTGGCGGATGCACCTAGCTCCTCTCCCACCGGCGACGTCACTGTCGCCACCACAACACCGCCGTCATTGCAGGAAGCTGAAGAGACGGGTCGTGTTCAGCCCTACCTTGACAATTTTATTCGATCTATTAACGTCAAACCCTATGGTATGTTTACCTCTCCCATTTTTTAACAATCTGAAATTATGTTCTTTCCGCGATCTCTGATACGTATAGTTCGTGTCAAATTGTGGACTTTGACGTGTTTTCATGTTACAAGGCATCATTTTTCTCTTGATTCCCAACATTGCAGACCTAGTTTTTGCTCTGCTAGGTTACTTCCCCCTCCATAACACTGCAGTGATTAAAATGATTCCATTCGATTTTGGGGAGGACCTCAGCTTTTTGTACTCATAAAATGGAAGTTTCAAGAAAAGCAGAGTGCTTAAGAGGAATTGGTCTTTCTTTTACTCTTCAAGGCATGGTTTTTGGAAGATCCTGGGCAGTTTAAATGTATAAAGGCCTTTTTTTTCTGACAGTGCTTTATGGTTTTTAAATTTTTCTGCCAATGTGTATAGACATCGGGTGATTAAAAAGGTTCTCGTACTCTTCAATACAACTTGCCGCGATGACTTCTTGTTACGTTGAAGACTTGCGATACCCACGTAGCTGTTTATAATTATGCATTTTTAGGCACTGCATAGGGGTTAAACCTTCAGCACTGTTGGTTGTGTCGTTTTCTGCTTGCACGTTACTTGGGTGCCTAATGGCATGAAATGTTGCAAAAGTTTGGAGACTGCACTGCTGACAAAGGGCCATATAGAACTGTGATAAATTAATAGACTTACGCCCCCATCCTTTTTGAGGGGCAAGTCGTGGTGGAACCTGCTATCTCAAATATCGGATTTACAAGTTGCTAGTCCATCAGGTTGGCGATGCTCACTCCTTTTACGTACCCTCCAAAAGGCACTCTGATTTCGATTTCTTCAACGGCTGGCTTGCCGTGAATAGTGACTTCTGCGTTACGGTGCATGTTAAGCGGACAGACGTTTCACTGTTTGGTTGCTCTCAAGTGGCCCGCTCCCTCCGCTTGATTTTGTTGCTTAAAACGAGTCGTTTACCAGCTATCGTTACCTTTTGTTATTCCTGGGCTGGTACTGATATGCAGAACAGCTTTGAATCGAAACGGAGGAGCTTGCTACTAGGTTGTTTCCTGCTTGGCTACAAAGTATCAACCGTTCTCTTGACCATTCTAATTCACTTCCTACTGAACTTGCTTTGGGGATATTTCCTTCCTAACATTAGGTGAATTAAATTAAAGTGCATCCAAGTTCCTAATTT